GTACTCGGCCCAACCCCCAGACAGTTTGACGTTTTATTCAATCTCTATAATTCCATGTCAACAATTTCAATAAAGTTGGACTGACAAAAGAGAGGCAAATCGCAGACTCCAGAAAAGTTGTCAACTTTCCTCCGACCAAAATCTTCCGCACTTTAAATGGATTGAAAATGGGCGTGGAAAGGAGATTGAAGATACTCAACTAGTCTACATGCCTTTTTATGCAAATCTGTTGTTCCAAAAAATTTAAAAGTAAATTGTAGTTTGTTTTCAATCATAGTTATAAAGTTGTTATGACTGTTATAAAGCTACATGCTTAAATAAATTAATAACACAAGGTGTCATAATCTAAATATTAAAATTTCAAAAGTTAAAGCCTAAATTTTGGTGCAAAGCAGTTCTGCAAACATATTCATATAAAAAGCAGGAGGTTTATAAATATTATTTGTTTCTTTCAATTTTTGTCTGACTGTATATCCTGAAAACTAGAGGACAATACGATTTCTTCAACTTCCTCAAACTTCCAAATTTTTGGTCATCTTCCTCAAATTCTTGACGATATTTACGACCTTCCTCCGACAGGTGGGGTCTGAGAAGGGAAATTTTAAATTTTGAAACATATCTTTTGTTGAGGGTATTAAGAAATGGTGTTATATTCAAGAAAATTTTACTAAAGTGGCAGTCCTAAATATGTAACAATATTTAGGGTTCTCTATTTAGGGTCAATTAAAATATGCCAGTAATATTTGGGCTAGAGCCATACTAACCCTCCAACCCTCTCCTAATGGCCTTGTCCAATATATAAACTGGCATCACAAGGTATATGCGACATTTTTGGAAGCAAAAGCGAGATTCTTCCAAAAAAAATTCCGTCTGGAAATATTCTACTACAGCACCCTGTTATTGATGCATATACACTTTGCAAAACAGGGGCGTCGGAACGACCAAGGGGCTAGAGGGCAGGCTTTAGTGCTCAGCTACCAACAACTCTTCCTTAACCGTCATTTTCTTTCGATCTTCTGTCGGTATCTTAAAAATCGGCTAACTTTTGGCATAAGAAATTTCTTTGCAAGTTTGAGAAATGTCGTCATAAATAAGGCACTACAGTCAGGATCTCATATGAATCTAATTGATTTCCTACAAATGGCCGGCGTCAAGAGTACTTCTATAAGAAGGGCACTTTAGTCCCTTTGCCCCTATTATAAAAGCAACAGGGGTAGTTGTCCATCCGCACCCCCCTCTCCGGCGTCCCTGTTGCAAATGCATCTCTGTTCTGTGAAAATTTCTTCTAATAGAAGTTCTATGTAGTATACCTTCATAGAAGTTCTATGAAATCGAAGAAAATCAAGAAGCGAAGCAACAGGCAAAGAGCTCTTCTGTATAAACAATGGCATGTCGAAGTATGAGAGAGCTCTTTGGCTTTCTTAGGCTTTGGCATCCAATTCTAAATTATTTGAAGTCTAAATTGCAATTTGAGTAACCGCTTGATGTAAATTTATTGAAGCTACATTCAGCAAATTTACGAGCAGCCACCAGCAATCTGGTTGACAATTTATGAGAGTCAGCGCCTAAGCATACACACTTTTTTTATAACGGGCCACTTTTTAAAGGACCTACCCGTAGAAGGCAGAACAAATTAGAACTATTCAATTTTGAGTATTTTTATAATTGCAAACATTGAAGAATTAAGAAGCCTGTTCCATTCATTTGGAGTTAAAAATCACATGAATTTTGTGTTACGAAGGTGGCTATCGATTGTTTCATTTTGTAATTTCGAGTGCTTCATTGTCCTTCTTGATTGAATTTCCACTTTTTCATATATCAAAAGTCTTTCTAGCGTTCTTTCTTTTCAACTTGTTTTCTAGCTACAGTTTAGAATATAGCGACACTGATACAGAATGCCAATGTTTTATGTGCAGTTTTCATGGCACCAAATGCGTAGTTAGCACTATAATTCGACAAAAAGGGCCAAAAATAAGGAACTTCAGTAACTACACTCTTTTTTATAAGAACCAGATAATTTTTGCCGAGTCTCGATTTTCTTAACTTTTTAATAATTTTAGACTGATTTTTTGCAAATATTTGAGAAGTTGCATACTCAATATAATTTTTTAAACGTTTTACTAGGTAAAGTTTAAAAATGATTTATTTTTATGTTTATAAATTGCATAGTTTTGTTCTGTTGACAAGACATAAATTTCAAAATGCGAATTGCTTTTTCTTAAATTTCTCATCTGAAGCTGAGCATGTTCTAGCCTTGTTCTTATTTTTTGGGCAAATCGAGCCTCAGTATTCTTATAAAGTGTGTTCTTATAAAAAAAGAGTGTATGCCCCGGGCTAGGTTACTTTCTAATATTTTCGACCTGGCAAACTATTCTTCAAAATTGTTAGTTAACCACATATGAAATAAAATATAGACATTCTAACTATGTTAATGCTACTTTCTGGAGAATGATTAACATTGTTAATACAATACTTGCTTCACCTATCACCTCGAAAGAAAGCAGTCATTCGATATCATTCAACAAAACGAGTACTGTTGTTACTTTGCTTGAATAGGTCTCAGGTTTGTTAGGCTTGTTAGCTACTGTGAATACATTCAAGTCAAAAGTTATATGCAAATCACTGTCAGCATCACAGTATCATATAGTACGGGATATTTTCTTATGAAGAACAACTTTAAAAGGAACCTATATGTAGAAGGCCGAAATATTTAAAGAACTTATGCTACTAAAAACGAAATCTCTAAGGAACTTCTCGATTTGAAAATTTTTATAACTGCAAGCATCAAGAACTAGAAAGCTGGTTCCATTCATTTGCAGCCAATACTCGCATAGATTGTTTGCTATTCGTTTGTCAAGTGCTTCATTGAGTAGTTTCCTCATATGCTGTCTCGCCCCTTTATTTTATATATTTAGTCATTTAGGCTTATTTAGTCAAAACAAATTAAGGAACTATTAAAAAACTTTTGGTACTACAATTTGATGATTTAAGGTCTACGAATAAGGAAGTTTTGGAATTAGGCCTTGAGGTAGGTTTCTTATAAAAAAGCGTGTATAAACTTGTGTTATTAGAATCTCTTTTATAAGGTCACATACGAACAATTATTAAGAAGCCTCAAGTATCCAATATATAAGAATATCAAGCCTCGGCTGGAACTATATTTTTTTATAAGAGCAATTTTATAAGAACACGAGTCTCAAAATTTGTCAGAAGTTAAGAACAAATTAAGAACAAGAAAAGGCTGCAGGATGCAAAAATGCAATTTTTAAAAAAGATGAAAAAAAAACAAATTTCTTGCCATCTAGAGCTGTTTTGTTGGCGAATTTTAAAACTTGTCGGCAAATAAAGGATGGCTCAATAACTACTTTACAAATAGAGCATGTACACATCCACGATTGTACTGCTTACATCCTGATAACGTAAGCACAAATTAGGATCAATCTAGCCTCAATGTTTTGGAAAAAGTGAAGAACAGCCAGCCTGAACGTCAACTGGCTAGTTTTTACAAAAAAAATTGTATTTGGTTCTTATAAAAGATAGCGTAACATGACTTATGGTCGACATTGCTTTATTTGCGACACTAGATCTCAGGGTAGGGTATATGCAGTGGTGTAATGCTAACAAGGGGGGCTCTTGCCCAAAATCTTGCGAAAAACAATAGCAAAAGTAGAGATTTGCCAATTTTCGGCATCGACAAGGGGAGCTCAGCCCCCTGAGACCCCCTTGCTCTACACCCCTGGGTATATTGCGGGTATGAAATTATATCGAAGTTCCTTGGTTCGTATAACTGAGTGCTAAGTGAGATTATATAAAAATTTTTATGTAGTATTTCTCTCTTCATAAGTCCTCGAATCATGTAATACTAAAAACATCGATATTTATAACACAGATACTAACATTTAAGTGGAGGAAAGAGAGGAGGTTGAAAGGGGGGCGGACAGAAAATCTAGACACCGTCTACATGGGATTGTAAAGACTTTTTCTGCGCAACAGCAAAACTCTTTTTTAATTGAACTGCGTTCACTTTTGTGATAACAAAATTTGATGGCCTTGTTTCAAGGGTGTAGCTTTACAGAGTTTTCAATTCACATAACTACAACTGCTTAAGCTTGTGACATGTCACAATTTTTTCAAATATAAACTAGTATGATTAAATTATCATTGAAATTTAAACAAAGCAAAAACCACAAAGATACTATAAAATAGGAGAAGCGAACAAAGGTGAATTGGAAAGACGTGCTTTATAAAGAAGGAAACAGAGATTACTTGGCTTTTTCAAGGGCTACAGTATTTGGGTACTGACAGTATAAAAAGGACATGAAGGTCACTTTTTCTGGCCTCTAATAGCCATTGCCAAGTGGGGGCACTTATACTGGCATTAAACATCATGTTATAAGACGAAGTAGTTGGATGGGCCATGGAATGTTTACTGGTAGGGTGCAAGTAGAAAATAGTTTTTAAAAAGTCTGGAGTTCCGCTCTGGTCTGACGGTTTTTACACAAAAGATTCGGAATTATTTCGCGCTTACTCTGCAAAGTTGGTGGCTGGCATAAATTAACAAAATCACCGATAGCGATTTGATTCAAAGATCTCTCCCTCGACAACCTGGTGCAGAACACAAACGAAACTTTTCTAGTGCTACCCCTGTGTCGATGAAACAAATTTCAAATAATTGTCTCTGGTTCTGATGTTTTAAAATTATATTCGACACGGTAAAAAAATTATCTTGATTGCTTTTTCAAGTGTGCGTTTGAAATCAAAAAGTCACGTTTGTGTCAATGCTACATGCTAGCAATCCCGACAAATGAAATGTTTATGTCTAAATGGTTACCTTCCAAGGAGAGCTAATAAAATAACTCAAAAACATCGAAAATAGTATACTTTCCAAAATCATTAAAGAAGCAAGGTTAGCGTTTGGCTGGATCAGAAAATCACAATAAAGATACCTAACACAAATAAAAATAATCATTAAGAATTTTAGGGAAAGAAAATGCACAAACCTCATTTGCCAGCAGCTGCCTTCTGTTTCCGAATACGTGAGAATTCTGAAAAAGAGATTTTGAGATCAATAGATTGACAGAGTCTGCTTACTCTATTGATGCTTTGATATCGCTAGTACTTCCTTTTGGAAGCCGCAGACGTGTTTATAGACAATTCCAGGAAAACAATTCATAATAGGGGGTAGTGCCACTCCTATAGAAATAACCTACTGATACTTCCGTAGTACCACTGCGTCATAGCTATTGAATTGTAATCGTTGCTGTTGCCGTTCCACAAAGTGTGAATGAGCGATTTGACGATTGAATTTGAGCTTCATTTTATTCTGTTTCCGAGAAACATTTGATGAATGACACATGAACGAAGATTACCTTAACCTGTTGACATTACAACGTTTCGAAAATGATTCATGCTGAACTGACTTGAAGAGGTCTTATTTGTCAGTGAATTTATAGATAAAGGATAGAAACAGATAAAGTGACATTGGTACTGATGATGATGATGATCTTTAGAACTTAATCACTCTACTGCTTTAAACGCCGAATACCAGAAACTTCTCGCTGCTTGAGAAAAAGCAAAAGAGCTTGACATTAGCAATGAAATAACATGCTTTGGTTGTAAGTTTAAGTTTTTGCAGTTATAATCTGTTGCCTGTAGCTTTCTGCTGGAAACAGTTAGTGGAATCTTTCATTCTGTTTTCTAACAATTGACATTTCGGTCTCGATTCCAGTCACCTCCATCCACTTTTATGTCAAATACTTCCTGTTCCAATTCATTTTGCGTTAGAATACACGATGAGAAGCAGATACAACATGTCTTTTGATGGATTTTCAATTTATAGATGAAAAGCTTTATCATTCTTTACTTAGTCTAGTGCCATATGCTGCTTCCATTCACGAAGGATGCTATTTGAGAGTGGGACATATAAGTTGCTTCAAATTTAAATTCTGCTAGTGGGGGAACAAGTGATAAGCACATTTCGCTATCTACCAGAGGAACTCAATAATCTTATCCTTGAAAACCAAAACTGTCAAATTTTTAACAATTAATTGTAATATTGGTTATGTCATTGTTTCATTGTCTCTTTGTGAGTTATTGCAAACTGTTGTTTGTACAATGTGCTTGTATGTCAATCTGGGTGTGTCGTTTTAGTCATGAGCATAATGTAACAGTGAATTGTATTGTATAGGGACATTATTATTAGTGCGTTGTTAGTTTTGGAGTGGTCTAACTTATGTTACAAACGGCTTCAATGTTCCTTAGTCAACAAAAAACAATTGTGGTAGAAAAAAATTCTTACATCGAAAGTATTATGCTCTCTCGTTAATAAATCAATTATCTAGACATTTATATCCGATCTTAAGCAAATGCGTCTTAAAAAAACACAATTGACCAGATCTTTAGATGCTGTGGAATTCATCAAATTGTTCAGGGAAGATTTTTGAAATAACAAGTAAACGAGCGCTACCCTGTAAAACATTTAAACGTTTTTAGAGCGAAAAAAAAGAATTCGAGTAAAATCTTATATGAATGTTCTCAACAAAAATACTTTATAAGACCTTCGATGCTCCTGTTTTTTATCAAAATTAAAATGTGCTTCAAGATAGTTTTTCACTTTTAAATCAATGTAGAGACACTGAAAGAGTATTTTCAATGTTCAAATTTAGCAGAGATATCGGAAAATGGTAGTTAAAAGGAGCTAGTCCCCTCATCCAGCGTTCGTTGCAACATCCTAGAATGCCAAGGACCCCTTTTGCAAAGATTCAGAAAAAGATTCATGAAACAATTAAACATAATATTTTGTCTATACAACTTAAATAACTGAAGATATTGGCTTTCTTTAACTTGTAAGAAGAGTGTTTGTTCATGCCAGATTCTTTGTTACTTTTATCTTCTCTGCCGCACAAAAATTTCACAGTCACCACAAAAGAAAAGAGTAAGCTCGGGTTGGGTCAAAGTATGAAATCCTTCAATCCTCAGCACTCAAATACATATGCCTTCAATATATTTGTTCTTTGCTTGAAGAACGTTCCTCGAGAAACGTCAAATAGCAGCCACGAAGAACAACAACAAAGATGTTCCTCAAGAAAGGTTGTTTTGATCTTTGAGCTTCATTCCTTGGATATATTCGCACGGCTACAAAGCACATGTTAAAGCTTAATCTTAATCGCATTGTTAATAAGTTGGAAAATTTCTCGCACCATTTGTTTCAATTTTTTAAATCTAGTTGATCTCAACTCTTCATCGAACAAATAGCAACATTATATTTGATGATTATATAATATAAGAATATTTAATGAATAATGAGAGCCTTAGTGTTAATCCCGATATCCTATACAGGGGTGCAGTAGGAGGGGGCCAAATTGGGACGGGGGGGCTAAAGGAACAATTTTCGAAAATTTCCAAAATTTTCGAAAAGTTTCGTGCTTCTGGCTGGCTGTAGCCGTCTGCCCTTGGCCACAGGGCCAATCCTTCAGTATCATATGGCTGCAGGTTGTCTCGGTATAGTAACATTTCCCCATAATTTTCCCATTAGAGTTGGTTTTAAATAGCAACAGGAAAAGAAAAAAGGAATGAAAACTGCAAAATTCGGTTGGAGCAATTATTCAGTGTGAGCAAGAGCGTGGTTTCTTGATTAAAAAATGTACGTCATTTCTGCCCTCTGTATGCTTAAAAAATCTGAATGATTGCCAAAACGTATCGCAACCACAATAAAAAGCCACTTCGCAAAATGTTTCACATTAGATCCAAAATCTAGAGTTTCCCGGCATGACATTTGGATAAATGCAGAAGTATCGGTGTCCAAGGTCTTCCAAATTAGATCTGTTTCTGACGTCAGAGGAATTCATCTACAACATGGTAATTTTTGTGGCCAGGATACAGTTTCCGCAATCCCAAAGAAGCTGACAGATTTACGAAATGCTAGATTATTTGATTTATTCCATGCATACTTTGATAAGCGTATTTGCAGAGGCATAGGGACGAGACACAACGCCTTTATTGGAGCTTTTGTGGAACAAGTTTGAAGTCACTAGTGTAATGAAAGAATTAATGACACGAGAAAGGCCACAAATTGCCTTTATGGTGACTAAATGAAATTTAATCTGAGTTAATTTCATGAGAGGCTTTTGAGCGCTAACTAAATCGCTTGAGATTATTGTTATTACTTATTCGTTATGTTTTCTTGTGCCACGCTTCCTCGCATTTTTCTTGTACCTGCCCTACTAGTTTAGGCCTACTGGTCTTTCGGCCTACTGAGAAGTTGGTTTGTTAAACTAGTGTTAGACGTGTGTTTCGTGGCGTTTTTATTCCTTGGTTAATATAGGGGTATTTAAAGTTTTGGCATAGCGTGAGTCTCACCTTGCTTGGTGAAGCCACAATACAACTAGGCTGTTTTATTGTATTTTCCAAGCCCTCCCTCCCTCATTTTGTTTCTTTATGCAAAATGCCCTTTTAGTATAGCTTTGCGTGTTGAGTTTCTTTTATGGAATCTTTAAAACCTCTCATACCTTTCGGCATCTTTTATGCTTTTTAGCGTTTTCTGATGCTTTTAGGTAGGACTGGTGCATCGGCTATTAGTGGGGAAAAGAGGCTTTTCCTGTCCATTCCCTTCCAGTTATCAATCATATTTGGGGGTTATTGTGTAACTTCCCTTAGTAACCCCTTCATTGTAGGTTGAGCGATTTGCGCCGATGCACCAACGGCCCAACTCGCTCCCGATGATGTGGGAACGTAGCCTCATGACTGACCTTCTGATGTCTATGGCAGTTTTTCTGAGGGAGCTTTATGCCTTTTATATTGCATTGGTATTTTACTCTCGAGTTAGTAAATTAACAACAAAGAAAATGAATCTTTCATTACGAGTATGCATTTCACGCCCATTTCCCAACCAATACAGACCAGTGTGTGCATCAAGACCATCTAGTGTGCATCAAGAGACCCTTGAATAACACAGCATGCTCAGTTGCTTATGAACTGCAATTCATCAATCCACTCTGAAAAATACGTTCGTTTCATCATTGCAAACAAATCTAGAACTGTACTCCAATTAAATAACGTGCATATATGGGTGGTTTCGGAATTATTTGGAATATTGATAGGATTCATATTCTGATATAGTACCTACCCCACCTCAAAGCAATGTTAGTTGAAAAGCCTGAAAGTTTGTTGAGATATGGTTGACAATAAAACAGCTTTTGTAAAGTAAGTGATTATGTGCAAAAATAAGCGTTCTAAAGAAGAATTTAATTTCAAGTCTTGAAAAGCATTTAACTGAATAGTTCTTAATGCTTAATGTCAATAATGAAGCCACTAATTTAACAGATAAAATTAGCCAAGGATAAGCCAATGATTCCCAACTACTAGCAAAGAAGAGATTCTCCTCAATATACGTAGATACAGTATTGTTTCCGTATGCAAATGCAAAGATCAATTAGTATGGTATAATCTTGTACTGTGTTTTGTCTTTTACAGGGCCTTCTCCTCCAACATGTCAATAACACCATGAAGTCTAAGTCTAGCGTCCTTTCCATTTACGACTTCAGAGTTTCTCATTTTTGTTATCATGATTCACTAAAAGGAACCACATACTGAATTTTGAAACATACTAATGCTTTTCGTCTGGTAATCTTAGGTCCCCAATAAGCGACCCTCTCCCCCCGCTTATTAAATTTTCAATTTTTGTAGGACAGCTCTTCAAAAAGGGTTAACAGTTGTGGTTGAGTTGGTTGGTAAAAGAAGTAGGACATTATTGTTCCTTTAGTTTCAAAAATTTCCAGCCCCTCTTCCCCCGCTTATTAGAAACCCCGCTTCCTAGGACCCCCGTTTATTCGGAACCTAAGAGTACGCTTCAGAGTATAAAAAGTTAAAACATAGATCGAAACCTTTAAGCTAGGAAATAACCAAATTGTGGATCGAAATAGGCCAATCAGAAAAGGAGCACATGACTGAAAATACCACCATGTACCACCAAGCCTGCCGAGAGGAAAGGGAAAGAGGGCAAATTGCCAAAAGGCCTCGAGGTTTGGGGGCCCTCTTTAAGTAAACT